CTGATATATATATATATATCAGTATATATAATATATATATAATTTTAAAGAGAAAAACAGATGTAAAAACAATGATACAAAATTTCAAAACAAGATAGTAGGAGAATAACAGTGATTAATACATTATGTATTATTATCTTCAAGGTAGTTTCTCAGTTCACAGATATAGGCATGAAAAATTAATCAAACAGTATAAGCACAAGCCTTTCTTTTCAGTGAACTGCTAGAAATTAGTAAGATACCTATCTTAACTATCATATATATGTATACATTTATTTATTTTTTCCTTTCCCCTTCCTCTTTTCTCTTCTTTTCTCCTTTCTGTCACCCCATTTTCTCTTTCCTTCTGAATAATTTCCTCCCATTTTCCAGTATTTGTTGTACATTTTGGATCTTATTTACTCTTTCAGCTTCTCACACTAGGGAGACAATATGATGTTTACACATGTGAGACTGATTTGTTTCACTTATGAGTATGGTCTCTACTTGTATCCATTTACCCATAAGTTTCCAGCTTATCCTTCTTTATAGCTAAGTAGTACTCCGTGGTATAAAAATGCCACATCTTTTCTATCCATCCCTCAGTTGATGGGTATTAGAGTTGTTTCCAAGATTTAGCTGTTACAAATTGTGCAGCTATAAATATGGGTGCACACATGTTGCTGTGGTGCAATGTTCTTAATTCTTCTAGGAAAAAGAAGGGGAATAGCATGGTCGAATGGGACCTCTAATGCTAGTTTTTTGAGGAATTGCCACACTGATTTCCACAGTGATTGCATCACTCTACACTCCCACCAATAGTGAAGAGGGGTTCCTTTTTCCCCACAGCCCCTCCAGCATTTGTTATTGGTTGATTTCTTTTTTTTTTTTTTTTTTTTTTTTTTTTTTTTTTTTTTTTTTTTTTTTTTGTTTTTCTCCGGTACCGGGAACCGAACTCACGACCTTGCGCTTGCCAGGCAGGCGCTTTGCCGCTGAGCTAAATCCCCAGCCCCGGTTGATTTCTTGATGATAGCCACTCTTGCTGGAGTGAGATGAAATTTCAATGTTGTTTTAATTTACATCTCTCAGATGATCAATGATATTGGACATTTTTCATATATTTATTTGCTATTTATATTTCATCATCTGAAAAAAAGCATATTCATCTCAGGTGCCCATTTTTTAAATTGGGTCTTTGAATATTGAGTGCTTGATTTTTAAAATTTCTTTATATGTTCTAGATATAAGTCCTTTGTCTGAGGGACGGTTGGCTAAAACTTTTTCCCACTCTGTGGGTGTCTTTTCACTCTGTTGGTGATTTCTTTTGATGTGTAAAAGCTTTTTAATAAGATGAGATCCCAGTTGTTGATTCTTTGATGTATTTCCTGTGCAGTGTGGGTTTTGCTCATGAGATCTCTGCCTACACCTACGTCTTCAAGATTTCTACCTTCTTTCTCTTCCAGTAGATTTAGTGTTTCTGTTTTAAGATTTAGATCTTTGATCTATTTTGACTTTAATTTAGTGCGTGGTGATAGACATGAATCTAGTTTTAGTCTTTGTCATGTAGCGAGCCAGTTTTTCCAGCACCATTTATTAAAGAGGCTGTCTTTCTTCCAGTGAACATGTTTGGCCCCTTTGTTAAAGATAAGGTGGCTGAGTGAGCTTGTAGTTGTGTCTGCATCTTCTAATCTGTTCCACTGATCCTCAGGTCTCAGATTCTCATATATTTAAAATTTCCCCCTTCCTGAGGATTTGAATTTCAGGCAGAACTTCACTTGGTATTTCTTGTATGGCTGGCATCAAAGGCCCTTAGCTTTTATTTTTTTTTTCCGAGATGTCTTTATGTTCCCTTTGTTTTTGAGGGATATTTCTACTGGATTCAAAATTCTTGCTTGAGAGGATTTTTTTTTTTTTTATCACTTTAAAGATGTTTCTCTGTACCTTCTCTACTCCATCATTTCTGATATGACATCAGCCTTTAACAAGATGGTTAATCCCCGGTATGCAATGTGTTGTTTTTCTCATGTCACTTTCAAGTTGCATTTCTCAATTTGGCTTTTGACAGGTTGACCAATTCCTTGGTTTAGGATTCTTTGTGTTCATTTTGCTTGGTGTTCATTGAACATCTTGCATTAGTACCATTCTGTCTTTCACTAAATTTGGAACATTTTGTCTGTCTATCGTGTCTGCAGATAGTATTTCTGCCCGATTATTTCTTTCCTCTCCTCGGATATCATTTAAAAGTATGTGGGACACCTTAATATTTAAATGAGTTCCTGAGCTTCTTAAATCATTTTTATCTCTGGTTTTTCACACTGGCTAATTTCTGTTAATCTACTTTTAAGTTCATGTATTCCTTCCTCTGTTCTCCATCTGGCTGTTAAAGATTCACCCAGTGAGTTTTTCATTTCGGAAACTAAAATTTTTAGTGCTAGACTTTCTATTTGGTCTCTTGTATTGTTTCTAATTCTCTGAGGAGATTGTCTACCTTTTTATTAATTGAAAATATGTATGCAGATACAATTATAAAACTTCATCAGAGTAGTTTTAATAGTTGTAATAAGTCTTTGTATTCTACTTCCTACATATTTGGTTCAGTTGACTCAAGATAAATTCTAAGATAATTCTCTTGAGAATTTATTCCATTTCTCATTTTTTTACATCAGTATTTGGAGTGAATGCACCCTGGTCACCTCTGTCCACCTCCCCCTGTGGATATAGCCTGTAAATGTGACTAAGGACTCTGAGCTGGGGTGATCATCTCGGATCATCCTGATGGGTCCACTGTAACCAGAGGGCTCCTGTCACAGGGAGGCCAGAGAGTCAGAGGCAGGGACAGTGCGACAGTGAAAGGGGTCACAGCGGCCTGGCGCAGTTCACAAGCTGAGAAGGCATCTGCCTGTAGAAGCTAAACAAGGAAAGAATACGGACGTTTCCTCAGTGTCTCCAGGAAGACTGGCCTTTCTGACAGAGTTCAGCCTTCTGACACACAGGCCTCTGAGAGAGTAAAGACGTGTTTTTTAGGCCACCCAGTTGGTGACGTGGCACAGCTGCAGCAGTAAACAAGTACCCTGGATATAATGAATGTTAAATAGTGAAGATTCTGGGATTTTATTATTTTTCTGTGATGATTCTGTTATTTTTCTGTTTCTCATGTCCTAGTAGCCCTTTAGCTGGGGGAATGAGCATCACAGTCTATTTCTAGGACTACTATCCTGGTCTGAGCTCACATCTGCACTTTATTCCCCGCTTTGAATCTATCAGGGGTCGGTCAGTGATCTAGGTTGACACAACTTAGAGATTTCCTCTCCACATCCTTTGTGTGTGTGTGTATGTGTGTGTGTGTGTGTATGTGTATGTGTGTGTATGTGTGTTACCAGGGAATGAACCCAGGGCCTTCCCACTAATCCCTAGCTCTTTCCTGTTTTTATTTTGGGATAGAGTCTTCCGAAGTTGCCCAGGCTGGGCTTGGTTTTGCCATCTTTGTTATGGTTTGTGTCTGGGTGTCCCCCCAAAGCCTCATGCGGCCATGGGGCAGGCTTTTAGAGTTTGATTGATTATGGGTGTGAGAGCTACACCTGTCCTGGGGTGGATAGTTTGCATATGTAAGGGAGAGGTAGAGGCTGCTTGGGGCCATTCCTCCCTTGTGTGCTTGTTGCTTTTGCTGTGTTCTGCCGCCATGAGCTGTAGCCCTCTGCCATGTGCCACTCTGCCTTGTAACCTGCCAAGTATGGACTGAAATCTCCACAAACTGTAAGCGAAATAAACCTTTCCTTCCTTAATTTTGGGCATCAGGTATTTTGTCCCAGCAAAGAGAGAAAAGTAACCAAGACAATCTTCTTCCTCAGTTTTCTGGTTACCTGGATCCTCTCAGTGTCCTTAGGTGTTGAGCCTGTTCTGTGCCAGCTGCCCTTAGCCTCAGGCCAGAAGCCCCAAAGACTACACTCCCTCTGTGCCTTCCTCCCCCTCCAAGCATCTTCAGGGGGAGTCTTTGTGCCTCAGGCCCAGGATCTGTGTTCACTGTGTTCTGTGGAGGATTCTTGTGTTGAATTTCAGTTTTGACCAGAAGTAGAACCCTCTGGTTTTGGGTCTTTTGAGTGTCCTTTGCCTCTGGATCTGTTTTTGCAGACAAAAGGGGAAGAGAAGAAAACTTTTCTAGCACCTGGTGTCTGGCTCTGTTAACTTCCGGCTGCATGACCTGGGGGAGAGGAGTCCACATAAGCCTCAGTGTCCTCCTCTGTAGGACCAGTTGTCTGGGAAGATGAGAAAATGCAGGCGTTTTGGACAGTGCTGAGCCTAAGGTTTGGTCTCCTCGTTACTTTCACAAGCTTTTCCCTGTTGCTCTCAGAAGAACCCCAAAGCCAAATGCTGCTCAGTTTTTCCGGCTCCCTTAGTTCCTCCAAGTGGGCAACCCTGGGAAAGGGTCTGTTTTTTCTGCCAGGAAAGTGAAACATTAACAAAGGATGCATCGCAGACCATGACTTATAATGCAGACTCTACACACTCTACTTCCCCAAACCAGATCTCCTCAGTGGACTCTCCGCCCAAGTCACTGCCCACTGCAAACAAGCAGAGGCCCAGAATTTCCTCGGAGCGGGTGCTGCTGTGGAGCCCGTGGAGTCAGGGCTGGGCGAGGCTCCCACTTGGCTCCGCTGTCCTGCTCTGGGCAGTGGACACTTGTTTACTGAGGTTTGCAGTGCGGGGGGAGGAGGCGCAGCAACAGACAGGGCAGGCACAGTCCTGCCCTTGTGCAGTACACGCGTGGTCAGAGTGGGCAGAGGACTACACGTCACTTACGTGAGCGCCCAGACCACTCACGGTGATGATGAGAAACTGGGTGATAATTAAGATAAGAAATTGGGAAGGGGGTGCGTGCGTGCGTGCGTGCATGCGTGTGTGTATGTGTGTGTGTGTGAGGAGCCTGATTTTCTCAGGGCTGGGGCCTGCATCAAGGAAGTGACATTTGCTGGGGTCTGAAGGTGAGCAGAGGGCAGGGTCTGGGCGTGGCTTGGGCACAGACCCCGTGGCGGGAAGGGCCCTGTAAGTTCCCGAGTTAAGGCAGATCACGGGGACTGAAGAGGAAGAACAAAGTCAGAGGGGCAGTAGGGGAGCCAAACTGAGCAAAGAACAATTCAGGACGCCCAGTGAAATCTGAATTTCAGGTAAAGGCCAAATACTTTTTTTGGTGTTACCTAGAATTGAACCCAGGGACACTCTTCCCCTGTGCTATATCCTCAGATTTTATTTTATTCTATTTTTATTTTGAGACACACTCTCATTAAGTTGCCCAGACTCTTCTCCAACTCATGATCTTCCTGTCTCAGCCTGAGTAGCTGGGATTACAGGCCATGCCCAGCTGTCAAGCACTTTCTTAGTATAAGCATGTTCCCAAAGACTGTACGGGACACCCTTGTACGTAGTTACCCTAAAAATTTATTGGTTGTTTATCTGAAATTCAGATTGCACTGGGCGTCCGGGGTTGTACCTGGTCAAGTATGTGCAAGGCTTTTCGGGCCAGGGCAAGGAGCCCGCTGGCACCGTGGGAGCCCTTAGAGGCTGGGAAGGTAAAGCGGAGCAGCCCCAGCTGCAGAGCTGAATGATGGAGCAGGGCCTCGGGCCAGGTGGGGGCTGCTGCAGCAGGTTGGGGTGCCATCAGTGTCTGCTGCCCCCCACCAGCTGTTGGAAGCCAAGCTGCCGTCTGTCGTGGGGGCCAGGGTAAAGGCCAAGGCCCTGTATCCTGTCCCTAAGATCCAGGCCCTGCTCCCTGCCCCTCCCCACCCTCCAGGGAGAGAGGCTGGCTAGGCCAGACGGATTTCTTCCCCTCTGTTTGTTTTTGTGATTCAAAACTGAGTCATCCACCCCAGGCGGAGTGCAGAGCCTCTTTCCTGGCTGGGAGTGGTGGGGGTGGGTGGCTCTTCCTGAGGCAATGGAGTTCAAGTTCAGCCTCCTCCTGTCCACGGCACCAGTTCAAGAGCAAGAAATGCGACAGCTATGTGTTCAGATCCTGATTTCACCTGTTTGCGACCTGGATTCCTGAGCCTATAAAATGGGGAACATCACAGTGGTTATTTGAGGGTTTAATGAGAAAGGTTTTGCTGAAAATCTCTGACGCTCTAGGCGCTCGCTGCCTGTCCCCTGCCTCTTTCCCTCCCTCACTGGTCTGCAGAGGAGGGTGGGGCCCGGGATCAGCAAACAGGCTCCTGAGTAGCCCAGACAGGAAGTCTTGCAGGCTTTGTGGCCAGACAACTTTGGTGGTGGCTCTGGCTGTGGCCTGGGAGAGGAGCAGCAAGTGAGCCTGGCTGTACGCTAGTGAGACTTCAGTTACGGACTCTGAAACCTGTGTCCCAAATAATGTGCAAATTTTATTGGTATGTGTTGGTGACGCGGAGTAATTACGTTCCTTTTGGGGAATTGGTACAAATACACTTTGGAATCTTTAGATAATTTTCAAATGTCACGTGACACTAGACTTCCTCCCACCCCTCCCAGGGCCATACTGAGGCAGACGGCAGGCAGGGTTTGCAGACCCCGCTGTGAGTGAGGTTACCTTACCGTCAGGCTGGGGTGTGAACTACCTTTTCCTGCTACCCTTGCCATGGCTGCCCTGTCTCTGCAGACGTCTCTTCTGCACCTGGCTCCTGATCACTCTGGGTCCCCCACACCCTCCCGGGAAGCAGGACTTCCCCTCTCTTTCATGGTGCCCTCCCACCCAGCCGCTGCCTGCCATTCCTTCCTGCTGCTCATCCGGGACTTAGGATTTAGGGCCAGGGCTGTTTACTGGGGTTCACGGGGTACTGTCAGCCTCCACTGCTGTGAGCTGCACAAATGCTAGACCCCTGATCCTGCACCCTGTCTGAGCTTTGAACTGAGTCAAGCACACAGTCACCCTGGAGGGGTGAGCCTGAGGTTTCTCTGAAAGGACTTGTCAGATGGGGGAAACTGAGGCACAGGGGCAGAGACTAGTGCTTAGTGGCCAAGGTAGGCTCCTTGCCCAGCCTTCTTGTAAGAGGAGGGACATGGGCTGACAGGCTCTCAGAAGCCTGGGTTGAGCAGTCGATGGTGACACTGTGCTTTGGGCTGGGGACACGTGGGCAGCATCTTCTCTGCCGTCCAGGCTCTCTGGGACAAGGAGGAAAAAGGACAGAGAAGAGATGCTGGATCTGTAACCGGCCTGTGACGCTGAAAGTCCCCCGTCAGCCTGCCCAGGGCCCATCTCAGGCGGCTCTGAGACACAGGAGTGGCGAGGCCCATGGGTCTGCAGCCTTCTGAACTGGCACAGCTCCGTTCTCAGAGGGTCACACTGTGTTGAAATCAGAACACCCTCCAGGGGCTTCCTGGGCAACTGGGGGCAAATCCAGCCCCTCACAGCAGTCCTTGGGCCCTGAGGGGCCTGTCCTTAGTGGTCTGTCCTTCTTGTTGTTTGTCACATCCTCCTGCTGTGTCGCTTTGTCTCTCTAGCACACCCAGCGTACTCCCACCTCAGGGCCTTTGCTCTTGCCGTTCCTTCTGCCTGGAATACTCTCCCCAGCTGTGAACCAGCCTTCTGGGTCTCAACCCAGCCCTCATCAAAGGCTTTCCCTGAACATCTGCCCTGAAGAACCATCCCCAGAGCCACCCTGTGGCAGCCCTCTCACGGTTCGCAGTCAGCACCGAGCTTCCCGCTTACCCCTTGACAGCACCCAGGCTGCAGGACCGGACTCCTCAGTCTCTGCCTAGGTGGGATCTTCATCCCGCAGCCCACAGGGGCTGAGGTCACCCTTGAAGCTCAGTCTGCCTACACCTCAGGGGGCCTTCGAGCTGCAAGAGCAGGTTGGGCCCTTGTGCTGCGCACGCCCAGGCAGACTGGTACCTGTGCACCCAACCCCGGGGTCATTCCTGTTCTGGCCAGCGTGATGGGAGCGCTGGCTCGCCAGACCTCCGGGGCTGGTAAGAGGTCACTGCATTTACCAAAGAGATGGCAGCCGCAGGAAAGGTGGGGAATGCTGGGAGCAGGGCGCTCAACCTGTGCAGGCAGCACAGTGTCCTAGTGACTTTGCCTTCCAGCCGTCCTCTTTCCGCCTCAGTGTGCATGCCTCACTCAGAAGCATCGTCCACACAGCCTGCCCAGAACCAGCTACCAGCCTTTGGAGGGACTGCCACCCGCTTCCTAGTCTCCTCTCTCCTCCCTTTCCCCAAGGAGCGGCTTTGATCGAGGGCATATGAGCATCAGCAAATTCCTCTCAGAGTGAAGCAGGTCCACGCTGACCGCACAGCAGGTGGCGGAGGAAATGCCCTTGGTGACCTGGGGGCTCAGCTGGCTGGAGATGGGGGATGTTTCAACCCAGACTCTCCAACTCCAGGCCTGGACGCCTGCATCTGTGTGCAGCTGGCTCTAGGGACATAGAAGGAAGTAAGACCCGGGTTGGTCTGTAGGGAATTCCCAGCCAGGAAGGCTGGTGAGGTGCTTCAGGAACCCCAGATGTGTGAAAATGCGTGGCTCAGACTTAGGATCAGAGCTGGTATGGGGAGGTCAGCTGTTTTAGGCTGCTGTTCTGAGAGGCTGTTCTTCTGGAGAGTTCCACACGGATTCTGCAAACTCTGTCCCTCTGCAGGATACAGGGGAGCCTGTTTCCAGGGGCCCAGCAGGAAACAATTGGAGGATGAGAAGCCCAGGAGGCAGGCCCACTGTGTGACCCTGGAGAGTTCCGCCATCCCTTGAAGCCTGGTTTCGCATCTGTAGAGTGGGTATGGTCACGCAAGAACTTTCTAGCTTGTGTGGGAATTTCGGAGTCCAGAGTCTGAGTTCCATAAATGCAAGTTACAAGGAGCCTAAAGTAGGAGATGGTGTGACAGTGTGAGGTATTTGATAGCTCAGCTCTCTGTCAGTGGAGAAAAGAAAGCATGTCAAAGGAAAAGCAGGGAAGCCATGAGACACCTGGAGCAGAGCTGGGTCCGCAGCCAGGTATCCAGATGCTAAATCTGGGGATGGCCTTTTTGGCCTGGGGAGGCTTGGAGCCCACAAGACTCCACACCCAGTGGGTCTGTGTGGTTTCATGTACCACCTGGGTGCACCTGATGTGCTGAGACCAAGGACAGTGGCTTCAGATCTGCTACCAGCAGAAAAATGGGCCATGCCAGGGTAGGAAGGGGAGTTGGGTTTATCTTTTCCGGGGCTCCAGTGTGGCCCTCAGACAGCATGGCCATGGTGGGAAGAGTGACACCCCTAAGTTGTCCTCCCCAGGGTAATACCTTCCCCAGCCAAGCCCGGGCCTCTGGGCCAGGTGAGTTGGCAGCTTTCTTTCTTCAGCTCCTTGGCCTCTGGGGCTGAGGAGCGCTCTGAGCAGAGGGGTGACAGCAGGTGACCCGGTTTGTATTCTCTTTTATGCATCTATTTGTGAGTCCCTGCCCTGGATCACCCCTTCCAGCGGCCACTCAGTGTCTGGCACCTTAGGCTGTGTGCTCTCCTGCTGAAGACGCACTGTTGCTCGGTGCGCCTGTGTTTTATTTTATGGACGTGACAGGTGCATCACCGCTCTCGTGGCTTCTTCCCTTTCTTGCTGCTTACCATATGTTAAAGTGCACTGGTGCTGCTGAGTGTCATTTTCAGAACCCCACAGTTGTCCAGGCAGCTACAACCCCAGCTGATCGCAGTCCCACACTACCATGGATCTGGGAGGAACTTTCTCAGAGGTGAGTCCACCTCCGGAAGTGTGTGTGCGTGAGTTTGGCCTCTAGGCCCAGCATTCACAGTGGCTGAAGTGCCAGAAAACCACTACACACCACATATCCCTGTTGTTATGGTTTGTGTCTCGGTGTCCCCCCAAAGCCTCATGCGGTCATGGGGCAGGCTTTTAGAGTTTGATTGATTATGGGTGTGAGAGCTGCACCAGCCCTGGGGTGCATAGTTTGCATATGTAAGGGAGAGCAAGAGGTGCTTGCAGCCATTTCCTGGTTTTTGTGTTTGTTGCTTTTGCTGTGTTCTGCTGCCATGAGCTGTAGCCCTCTACCATGTGCCACTCTGCCTTGTAACCTGCCAAGTATGGACTGAAATCTCCACAAACTGTAAGCGAAATAAACCTTTCCTTCCTTAATTTTGGGCATCAGGTATTCTGTCCCAGCAATGAGAGAAAAGTAACCAAGACACCTGTACAGGATCCTGACTTGACCTTCCCCCAAACCCTTGACACTAGCTGTCTTTTAAACCCTATCAGTTAATGCTCTCATTTGCATATCTGATTATTAATGAACTGTAACATTTCTTCATATACTTGTCAGCTTCTTGAGTTTCCTTGTATGTAAATTTGCCTGTTCATATCTCTTGTCTGTTTTCCAATGGGGTTTCTCTCTCTCTTCTTTTTTGGAGATTTGCTGAAGTTTTTCATATCGTTGCTTTTTAGTCTTCTACTGAGTTTAGACATCATCAGTATCTTTTCCCAGCCTGCCATCGTTCTGTTATTTTTGTTTATGCTGCCCTTTGTCAAATGGAAATTCCAGTTTTGATGTAATCAAATGAATTAGACTTTGGCTTTATGGCTTGTACTCTTGAAATGTAGTTTGATAAATCATTCCTGACCCTCAGGTCCCAAAGCAGTGCCCTGCATGTTCCTGTGTGTTAACATTTGCTTTGTCTGTTTTCACTAAGGTCTCCAATCCACATGGGATCCACCTTACATGGAGTGTTATGCTGGTACATGATTCTAGTTTTCCCCATCTAGTGAGAATTCCCCTATGCCGTGTGTTATGGTTTGGGTTTAGATGTCCCTCCAAAGCCTCATGCCATCATAAATAGCTTTTTCAGAGTTGTCTGAATCTAGAGTGTGATGCTGGGATTAAGGATGTGTGATTACTAAATCAGTCCACCAATTGGTTTGGCATTGCTCTCATCCTGGTAGCTTGGATACTATATAAAGGACAGAAAGTGGCTTGTCTTGTTCCTTGTTTGCTTTGTTACCTTCTGCCCATCATCAACTATTTCTCCTCTGTGATACCTGTCTGCCATGCCACCCTGCCTTGGAGCCAGCTGATTATGGACTGGAACCTTTACAAACTATGAGCCAAATAAACCTTTCCTCCTTTAACTTTGGATGTGGGTATTTTGTGCCAGCAACCAGAAAAGTAATGAAGATAATTTGGTACTGAGAGTGGGGTTGTTGCTGAGACTCTACCTGAGCATGTGTTTTAAGAGCCTTTGGAGCTGGCTTGTGGGAAGGGGAAGAGTTAGGAAAGGTTCAGAGGTACCAGCTGGAAAAGTAGAGCTGGAATATCTTATGCTGTACTTGATGGGAGATTCTGGTCAGAGCTCAGAAGATGAGAATGCTGATAGAAATGATGTCAGTCAAGAGCAGGCTCAGGTTTCTTCTGGGAAGAAGAACTACTTTAGTTATTGGACTCTAGATGAAGTCTGTTGTGGCTTGGCAGAAAGTTTGTCTACATTTTGCTCATGTCCAGAGACTTTGCCTGAGACTAAGAGTGGTGGATGAATTAATTTTGGGGGGGGTCTTTTTGAGATAGAATCTCTCTATACAGTTCAGGCTGGCCTTGAGCTCACTTTATAGCCTAAGTGAGTCTTGAACTCACAATAATCCTCCTGCCTCAGCCTCCCAAGTACTGGGATTACAGGCATGCACCACTATGCCTGGATCAGACTAATTAATCTTTCAGAAGAAATTTCAAGACAGTCCACTGTTTGGGCAGTGGCATGGCTACTGTTAGGGGTTTTTAGCCAGATTTATGCTGGGAATCAAGAGCAAAGAGTCCAGCACGATGATTTAAAATGTTTTGAGTGTGGCCAGAAAGGAAGCTGCAGTAAAGGTAGGGCCTGCAAGGATGGAAGAGAGGAGAAATTGGCTGCTGAAAAGGCTAGAAAGAAAAATCCAAGTAGTTCAGAAGAAGACAGCAGAAAAGTTGACCTAAGGCCATCATAAGAACCAGCAGAACTCCAGCCTTTGCAGCTTCACAGTCACAAAAGTGAAAGACTTTGCTCTGAGAAGAGAGTCCTAGAGAACCATGTTCTAGACTGGTGGTGGCCTAGGAAAGATGTTCCTCAGGATTTGGTTCATAAGCATTTGCCAAGAGAGAAGGAAGCCTAGCTACTGCTCCAGCTGGTAGCAGACCTTGTTGGCATACATGTGGTTTTAGATGAATGCAAGAGTTGTGGGTTAGGAAGGCTTCCACTCAGATTTCAGAAGGCCTGAGGGGGCAGTGTGTGAAGCTTCAAGTGTGAAGTTGAAGATGTGGTGGTGTTACGGTTTGTGTCTGGATGTCCCTCCAAAAGCCTCATGCAGTCATGGGGCAGGCTTCTAGATTCATGACTGACTCATTGTCCATCGTTGGGTGTGAGTGCTATACCTGCCCTGGGGCAGATAGTTTGCATACAAGTAAGAGAGAGGAAAGAGGCTGCTTGCCACTGCTTCTCCCACTGCTCCTCCCTTTTGCTCTGGTTGCCTTTGCTGTCTTCCGCCACCATGAACTGTTGCCTCTGCCGTATGCCACTCCGCCATGGAGCCAGCCGAGTGTGGACTGAAATCTCCACAAACTGTAGGCTAAATAAAACTTTCCTTCCTTAATTCTGGGAGTCAGGTATTTTGTCTCAGCCATGAGAGAAAAGTAACCAAGACAGGTGGAGACCTCAGAAGTTTGGAGGGGCCAGAAATGTGGGTCATCTGAGGAAAACTGCAAGGAAAGAGCAGAGCCCAACCCAAGACATGCCATGGGAGCTACAACCACCAGAAATACTATAGCGGAAGAGCCACCCAAGCCCTTTGGAGTTCACATCTTGCCTCAGATTGCCTTGGATGCTGGACATGGAACTATAGGACTTAATGTTTGTCCTGCTGGGCTTTGGACTTGCTTTAGTCCCATGTCCTTTGTATCCTCTTGTTTGTAACTTCTGGAATGTAAATGTTTATCTTGTGCCATTGAATGCTGGAAATGTTTAACTTTCTTTTCATTAGTACAGGGACTCACAGCTAAGAGTTTGCCTTAAATTTCAGAAGAAATTTTGGATTTGGACTTTTTAGCAATGTTGAAACTATTAGGACTTTGGCAACTCTTGGAGGTGGACTAAATGCCTTTTGCATAAAGGAATGTGTGTGATTCTTTGAGGGGTCAGGGGTGGAATGTTATAGTTTGGGTCAAGAGGTCCCCGCAAAGTCTCATGTGGTGATAGGTGGGGCTTTTTCAGAGGTGGAGAATCTAGAGTGTGTGATGCTGGGATTAGGGTGTGTGATTACTAAATCAGTCCACCCATTGGACTCATCCCTCATCCTGGTACCCTGGATACAATATAAGGGGCAGAGAGAGGCTTGTCTTGTCCCTTGCTTGCTTTGTTACCTTCTTCTTACCAGAGAAATTTACCAGAACAATTTCTTCTCTGTAATGCCTGTCTGCCATGCCACCCTGCCTTGGAGCCAGCCAATTATGGACTGAAACCTCTACAAATTGTGAAACAAATAACCTTTACTCCTTTAACTTTGGGTGTGGGTATTTTATATCAGCAACAAGAAAAATAATGAAGACACCATAGATGAAATAACCCTGATTTTCCCCCAGGGATTTCCGTTGGCCACATTTTCAGTGGGAATGTGCGTTTTCTACTGTTGGGTTCCTTTGATCTCCATCTGTTCTTGCATTAGTTTTGCATGGTTCTTATTCCCATGGCTTTGCCGTAGGTCTTCTATCTGATCTGGAACCGGGACTAGCATGAGGCAAGAGGCACTTATGGCCCCAGACTTAGGGAGATGCCTAATCCTGGCCCAACAGATGACTTTTTCATTCTTTATTTACACAGTGGGTTTAGCTTTCCTTAATACATCTTTTTGTTTTCATACAAGTGAATGTTAGTTTGATTAAAGTTGCACTGAGTTTCTAGATCACCTAGAAAGAGTTGAAATTTCTGTAACATTATCTTGTTCATCTCAGGACAGATAACCCTTTTTATTTAGGCCATCCTTTATTCAAATTTAAAAAAGTTTTGCTAGAGGTATGACATGTTCTTGGTGAAATGAATTCGTAATATATTCCAGTGCTGATTGCTCCTGTGAAAGATATCTTTTTTGCCTTATGTATTTTTAAAAATTATTTTAACTAACAAATATTAATAGTGGCCAGGCATGGTGGAACACATCTGTAATCCCAGCACATGTTGGCTTCCAGATGACCCTTGATGGTGCCAAATCAAAGCTGACAAGGACTAACTTTGCAGTGTGCTATGGGTCTGGGGACTTCCAGCTACACACTAATGTCAGTGATGGGAAGGAATTTGGAGGATCAATGTATCAGAAGGTATATGGAGATCTTGACACTTCAGTAAACCTTGCTTGGATATCAGATACCAACAGCACTGTCTTTGGCATTGTAGCTAAATATCGGTTGGATCCCACCACTTCCATTTCTCCAGAGCTCAACAACTCTAGTTTAATTGCAGTGGGTTAACTCAGACTCTGAGGCCTGGTGTGAAGTGTACACTGTCTGGCTTGGTAGGTGGGGATAACATGACTGCTGGAAGCTACAAGCTTGGCCTTTGCCCTCGAATTGGAGGCTTAATCCAGCTGAAAGAAACCTCTTGCAATGGATATGAGATTTGGCTTTAATAATTTCCATTTTGGCCAGCAGGCTTTTATTTCCTCCAAGAAGGTGATCGAACAAAGGGTGATGTAAATAAGAGCTATACTATAAATATTTAGACAGTTACCTTGTTAGTTGGTTTCCAGTTGAATTGGTTATCTAATTACCAATGCTGCTGTCATGCAGTCACCTGTACCTTATTTAAATATATTTAACTGTTACAATGTGCTAGCCACCAATAATGAACTAGACCTTTATGAAAAAAGAATTAGCAATTCTTTTAGCAATTTTGAAATATATAATGTTATTATTAACTGCGGTCCTCATGCAGTGCAGTAGATAACTAAAACTTATTCCTCCCATCTAATTGTACCTTTTGATTAATCTGTGTCCTTCCTCTACCCTCCCTCCTCAGCTTTAGCCTCCAATAATCAACCCTTCTACTCACTGTCTCTACGAGATCAACTTTTACATGCAGTGAGATTAACAGTATTTGTCTTTCTATGCTTGGTTTATCTCACCCAGTCTAATGTCTTTCAGCTTCACCCATGTTGCCACAAATGACAGAATTTCCTTCTTTTATGGAATAGTGCTCCCTTAAATAGGTGTACCGCATTGTCTTTATCCATCCATCCATGGATGGATGTATTACATGGATGGATGGACATATAGGTTGCTCCTGTATTTTGACTACTGGGAATAATGCTGCAGTGATCAAGACAGTGCAGATGATTCCTTGACATTCATAATAATTTCAGTTCCTTTTGACATATGCCCAGAAGTGGGGTTGCTGAGTCGTGTGATAATTCTATTTTTAGTTTTTTGAGAATTCCCCATAATATTTTCCAAAATGGATGTACTAATTTGTATTCTCCCTAGTAGAGTACAAGGGACATCTTTCCCCTCTACATCCTCCTTGATGCTTAGCATTTGTAGTTTTCCTAATAGAATCTTAACAGATGTGAGGTCATACTTCCTTGTGGTTTTAATGTGCGTTTCCCTGGTGATTAGAGATGGTGAGTGCTTTTCATATATTTGTTGGCCATTTGTATCTCTTCTTTTAAAAAATGTCTATTAAATTCTCTCCATTTTAAAATTAGGTTTTTTTTGCTATTGAGTTATTTCAGTTCTTTGCATTTTCTGGATAGTTAGCCCCTTACTGGATTTATGATTTGAAAACATTCTCTCCCAATCCAAAAATTATCCAAAAATTATTAGTAAAACTCTGTTGTTTCCTTTGCTGTGAGAAGGCTTTTTTTTTTTTTTTTTTTTTTTTGTTTTTCTCCGGTACCGGGAACCGAACTCACGACCTTGCGCTTGCCAGGCAGGCGCTTTTGCCGCTGAGCTAAATCCCCAGCCCTGAGAAGGCTTTTTGGTTTGTTGCAGTCCCCTTTGTCCGTTTTTGTTATCTGTGCTTTTGAGATCTGTCCAAAAAAATCATTTTCCAGATGAACAACATGGAGACTTCTTCCTATATTTTCTTCTAGGATTTTTATAGTTCAGGTCTTACATTTAAGTCTTTTTACCCACTTTGAGTTGGTTTTTGTATATGTTGTGAGCTAAAGATCCAATTTCACTGAAAGATATTTTTCTTAAAATTCTATTTTTAGTTGGCTACTGGTGGCATAGAGAAATGCTCCTGAGTGTATCAGCTGATCTTTTTCTGGCTTGGATGTTCTAGATCTAAGATGTACCCCAGAGTGCGTGTGTGTGGAAGGTGACTCCACCTTGGGAGCTATCCTCATCAGTGGATTCACCCTGTGGTGAGGTCGGTAGATGAATGTGCTCGGGGCCTGGCTGAAGGTGGGTCACTGAGGGATGTGGATGACCTGGCTGGGTGTGTTCTTGTCTCTGGCTATCCTTTCCCACTCTGCTTCCTGGCTGCCACGGGTTGAGAGTCTTTTCCTTCCCTGTGCTCTGTGTCATGCTGTTTCCTCCTCAATCCAGGCATCTATGGACTGAAGCCATGAGCTAAAACAAACCTCTCCTTGAAGTTGTAGGTGTCAGATATTTTGTCCCAGTGATGAGCAAGTGGCCAAGACACTGGTGTTTCTGCTGATTTCTGTTACTGGTTCTACATGTTTGGAGGCTGCTCTATGCCAGGCACTCGTGGAGCACACACAGACTGCCTGCCATTGGGCCAAAGCAGAGGGGAGGGGAATACATTTGCGGGTGTTGTCTACACCAACAAGAACACCGTCAGTTAAAGGGAAGGGGACCCATGCCATTGAGTGCACTGAAACTGGAGTGGCTGTGAAGATGGTAGATCTAATTGTGCAGAGGAATGAGGGGGTCAGGATGTCCGTTAAGCTAGAAGGGCTGCAGGCAACTTGGACAAAGCCTTGCTTGAGTTCATTTGTTTAACAAATTATCCCTATCCCCAAAGCACAAAGAGATTATCCTACAGGTTCCTCTTCTCTAACGTGGGATTTACATCCTCACTTCACTGGAGACCCTGTGCTCAGTGTTGAGCAGGAGCACGGCTCTATTTTTTGTACACAGGGGGACTGTTCTCTTTTCTTTGTTTGTTTGTTTCGTTTTTCTTCTGGTACCAGGAATCGAACTCATGACCTTGCGCTCGCCAGACAGGCACTTTGCTGCAGAGCTAAATCCCCAGCCCCAGGGGGACAGTTTTCTTAACATGTACAGAACCCAGGACCCAGTTTGGTGTCCTTGCATCCCCTCAGGTGAGCATTTGTGGTGGAGATATTTCACCTGTGCTTGTAGCACGCTCTCGCCGCCATACCATCAGCGCCAAGGCAGGAGTCGTGTCTCCCGTGTGCGGCACCAGAGAGTAGCGGCTCTTCCGGGCGGGCTCTGGTCTGTTCTGTCCGTGCTGTGTCCCGCTGCCTTCCTCAGCAGCCACAGGCAGTGTGCGCACGTCCTCAGTGCTCTCTGGGCGTTGTAAGCAGCTGGGGGAATAAGTAAGGGAAGGGGTGCAGAGATGAAGAGCAGGTCCCTGTGCACGGTTCACTGTAAGCTCTCTGTGAGTGCTTATTGCTTCCCCACCAGAGCCTCGGTCTCCCCAGGTGTAGTTTCCAAGAGGTGATCTCCCTGCCTTCCCTGGAACCACCATGAGGACAGTTGAGGCGGTGAAGGTGGAGTGGTGTTGAAAGTGCAAAGGGCTGCACACACGATAGTGCGCACAGGCTCCGGGCTCTTTCTGGCAGCCACCTATTGCCTCCGACCAGAGGCAGCTGCAGGACTCACCTGTAGGTCTGTTCCCCAGACAGGGGGAAGAACATCAGTCCCATCTCCTCAGGGCTTTTGCAACTGATGCAAATACAAAGAAATGCAGGTAAAGAGAGTGATAAAGCACATAAGATCAGCCGCATAAAATGCCAAACCAAAGTCAAGGTTTTATTTTTTTTCTGTAATGGGAAAGAGAAAAAAAGTATTTGTAGCAATAGGGGGAACAAACTGTAAAAATACAGTTAGCACTCTGGCAGAACTCAATGGAAAAGGATACTTTGATTAGACCCTCTCCTGAGGGCATCTCCATGTCCTCAGGAGGTCATGAGGGTGACCTCCGTGTCCTCAGGGCAAGTGCGAACTCCCATCCACCCCAGACCACCGCTGCAGGAAGGGCTTACAGGATGGCACAGCTGTCTCTGGTGCCTGGGATGACAACTCTAAGGACAGGTAGCCCACCGACTGCCCAAGTTGCCTAGAAGTAATGGATGTTGCTTCTCCTCCCCTCTCCTTCTCTCCTCTCCCCCTCTCCTCTCTCTTCCTCTCTTCTCTCCCTCTGAAGGGGAGGCCTTCACAGACAAACTATGTGGGGTGCAGGCCCAGCAGGACAGAAGCTCCTGGGAAGCAGCCATTTCCTTGCTGACAAAGCCCCTGGAGGAAATGCTGACATCAATTCACAGCGGTAAAACAATGAAGGGATAAGTGTTTCCTGGCAAGGGAAGGGCTGCAGTGCAGCTGGAAGGGAACGGCGCGCTGCGGTCAAGGGCACGGGAGCACAGCCAACTGAGAGACGGCCAAGGAGACAACTGCCCACGTGACTGTCCCCAGGTGGTAAGGATGCCCATGTTCAACAAGGAAACTAAATCAGATGACCTGCAGCTGTTTTCCACACATCTGCGTATATCTGCCTATCCACTCATTCATCCACACATTCATCCATCCCTCCATCTTTTCACATACATAGCCATGCAGTCATTCATTCGTCTGTACATCCGTTTGTCCATCCATCCAGGTGTCCATGTATCTACCCATCTATTTGTGCATCCATCCGTCCACCCATCCTTCCACCCATCCATCTATCCATCCATCCACCCACCACTCATTCATCCATCTATCTACTCATCTGTTTAGTTTGAACTGCCCCATACACAAACTCTTTGATATGAGGATCTGAATTGGGATATACTGGAATATGAGGAGAGGAGTGGAGAGGTGACAAAGGGCATGGAGAGAAGTTAACAGAGCACTGTTTTGTGCTAGTTACAGTGATGGGAAAATATGGACTTATGCCACTGGGCAACTCCAAAGAGTATCCTAATCAATAGGTGAGGAACCTGAGGGCATTTATCTACCAAATCCCTAAATTGAAGGCTGTTTAGGGGGGAATTAAAACTCTGACACTTCCAATCTTGCCCTTGGACTGAACAATCTAGAAAAGCATTCACAAACAGAAAGCCACAGTGTTTTGCAAAACGTAGCTTTTGAAGCATTAAGGTCAACGCTGAGAAAAGAGAGAGAACTTACATGATCCATCCATATAGTCACTGGTTGTACACACATCTCTGCATCTTCCATCCACCTAGCCATGCACGACTCATCCACTCAGCCACCACTCATCCACTTGTGATGGCTAATTTTATGTGTTCACTTAATTAGCTTCTGAGATGCACAGACAGCTGGTAAAACATTACTTCTAAGAATATTTGTGAGAGCGTCAATAGAAAAGATCAGCGTCCGACTTGGCAGACCGAGTAAAGAACATCCACCCTGAGCAGGGTGAATAAGCATCATCCGATTTGGATCTGGGCTTAATGAAACAAAATAGTGGAGGAAAGGTAAATTCTCTCCCCTTTTCTTCTAGGACCAAGATAACTATCTTCTGTCCTTGGCCATCAGAGCTCCTGATTTAGACTTGCACTGGATTATACCTCCACTTCTGTTTCTCCAGTTTGAACAGCGTATTGTAGGACCCCTCAGCTCCCCTGTTGTACTTCTGTACATCTCTCTAGCTATATTCATATCTATTGCTGTATTTCCTACTGGTTGTTTCTCTGGAGAACCCTACAATACCATTCTTCATCTCTTCCTTTTTTCTATCCTTCCATGTATCTTTCTATCCATCTTGTCTTTGTCTAAATGTCTCAGATTAGCTATTTTGTCCACACAACAACTAAGGAACAAGAACTACAATAAAATTCCAGAAAATCTCAGCAGCCAAATCTCTAGGAATTGGGACCCCTTCTTCCAAGCTTCCAAGGCCAGTCACAAAAAAACTTCATGATGTAGAACATCCTCCAAGGATCCAATGGTACCAAACTGGAGGTCCCATTGTTTGGGGTATGTCCTAAGTTTCTGAATAGCATGCGCATCAGAAAAGATACAACAACTGTCATTTGGGGGGATTTTTGGTATTTTCTGAACTTGGCATCAGAGATCTCTGTAGCAGTCATGGTATTTTGAAGTGAGACTTCTTGGATCTTAATGTAGGTTTTACCATTTCTAGATGTGTGATCTTGAGCGTGTGCTTGGACCTCTGTAAGCCTCAGTTGGCATAGCTGTGAAAAAGGAATCAGAAGGCTGCTGCGATTAGAAAAAGAAACCCACACAGGAGCACTTGGGACAGTGCCGGTTGTACATAACAGGTGTTTGGACGGTGTTAGCAAGGATGGTGACGGTGGTGATGATGACGACCATGGCGGAGACAGTGGCAACCTGATTATGATGGTAACGATGACAACAGTGATGATGAAGAATAGAGATGATGACAGGTGTACGATGATGATAATGATGTTTATGGTAATAATGAAGCTGCTGGTGGCTGCTGCTGCTGGTGATGATGACTCTGACAGGGATGGTGATGGTGATGGTTTCCTATTTGACTACTGATGCTCTGATGGAGGGAATGCTCAGTAAGAAGACGTCTCCTTCCATCCACAGAAGGGATGTGTCAAGGCTCGGGGACAGAGGGCTTGCCTGGCTCTGTGACTCTAATCCTATTTCAAATGCTTAGCCCAGGGTAAATAGTCACTCACATCTTTGTCAGACCATGTAATTAAAAAGAATTCAGAGAGATGGGGATACATTTGGCATTCTAATTTTCAAATTGATTCCTGCCGTGCCTCGAGGACCGAACAAGCCTCTGCTGGACTCAGGACATATGCGGATCTGGAGACAGAGCTTGGACGCGGATCCCAACAGGACGTTCCAGGGACCTCAGTCCTCTTACTTGGTGCCCTGTGGCCCCGAGACCGGCTGGAGACTCCACCACAAGGCTCTCCAGGTGCTGATACTTGCTCACAGCCTTTCCCTCAGGGGCCCACCCTGAATTCAAGGCGGACACGTGTCTGGGCATTTCTGTCCAGGAGCTCCTTGTGTGGGAGGACACCAGGAGCTACTCAGCCAGAAAGCCTTGGGGTCAGACTCTCCAGGTAGGTCTCAGCTGTACCCAGAACTGGGTGACCTGGGGAGCGCACAGTTTTTCTAAGCCTCAGTTTCCTCAAATAGAAATTGAAGGTAATCTTGGTAAGTGACTCCCAAGGTTCCTTGTGAGGAAATGAGTTAGTGCCTGTGAAGTGCCGTGGGCCACGTGCTCACTAAATGAGACTGAATAAGTAAATGAGTGCCTCTCTGGGCTCTCACAGAAGTGTAAGGGTAGATCAGTAATCTCACTCACTTTATTTCTTTAATTTTAACTTTTATCAGTATAAGTTTGCGTACAGAATGATCATACTCATTGCGGGGAGTTGGTACACGTACATAACACACCCTAATTATTTTTTTTTATCCCTTTCCTGCCCCTTCCCTCCTCCTCCCTGCCTCTCATGGTCTCTTTGCCTTTTGCAAAGGATCGGTCTCCCTGCTTTCCATTGTCTATCTTTTACTTTGAATGAGAGGAACTTAGTAACCCATTCACTTGCTCATCTATTTATTCCTGCACTCATTCAGCCCATGCTGGGACTGGTTGCTCCCCCCATCCTACATGTTAGGGGACACAGCTGAGATCTCATGGAGCCACTGCCTGGGAGGACAGGCAGGTAGCACACAGCTAGTGGGAATTCAGGGAGTAAGACTTTGCCCTGTGGGTGCCGGAGGCAGCGCCTGGAGCAGCCTGGGGGTGTAGGAGAAAGCAAGGGAGGCTCCAGCGGGGAGTGGGGGGCAGTGTCTGAGCCGACTGGGCAGAGCACTCGGGCTGGGTGTTGAAAGGAGATGTGGGCTCCAGGCCAAGAACTCCGCAGGCAACAGTATCTGGGAATGAGGTACCACAGTAACCCTGGGTGTGAGTGGACATCAGTGGACGAAGCTCAGTCCCTCCCTTCGGGGCTCCCAAAGGAGTAAATCAGAAGTGTTTAGGGCTTTGCTTGGTAGCTAAAGTCATTTAAGTGAGCTGATGTGTGAGTATTCCCGTCACACACATGAAAGGATGGGTGTGTGAAGTAACACACGTGCTCCTTAGCTCCATTTAGCCATTCTATAATGTCTATGGATTTCACAACATGCTGCACAGGATAAATATGATTTACATTTCTCCCAGCTTCTTGTTGCTGTTACCAAATACCTAAGAAAAACAACTTAAAGGGGTGAAGGTTTCTTCTGACTCCTGGCTTCAAAGGTTTTGGTCCATGGTCAACTCCACTGCTTCTTGCCTGCAGGTACAAGGGTGTGGTGGAAGAAAGCTGCTCATCTCCTGACAGAAAGGAAGCGGAGAAGGTGAGGGAGCCTGAGAGGAAGGGGCTGGGTAGCAGACACAGTCTCCAGCATCATGCCCCTATGAGCTATTCCCTCCACACAAGCCCCGCCTCCTGTTTCCATCTCTCCCCAATAACGCTGTCAAATTACCATCTCGTCAATAAATCAGTCCACTGAGAAAGAGCTCCCACTGTGTCTGTGGATACCCGCAGACACACCCAGAGTGTGGTGTATGAATTCCCTAGGTATTCTGCAGCCAACCGACTTGACAATCAAGATCAGCCATCGCAGTCCATTTAAAAATCAATTAATTAAGTATCAAAAGTGTGGACGTTCAGGGAAATACTTTCTGGTTGTGGAGAGAAAATTGACAAAAACCTTGAAGTGAAATAAACCGTACAGGCTTATTTACCGGTAAGAACTCACTTGAACTTTCCCAAGTTCCTACAGACAGGTTTAGAAGATAGTCACAGGACCCGTCCCACCCCAGCCATCATCTGCTGGGAGATTTGCTCCCCCTGTGCTCTCACTGCCCTTCCTGGCTCACTCAGGCCCAGCCTCCATGCCTTGCCTCAGCTGAAGCACACCTTGCCCTCCCCACTCCCCTGAATTCCTTATCCAAGAAGTTCTCTGGATTAATCTAATGGCTTGTCCGCACATGACAGAATCCCACCTCCGACACTGCCACCGCTAACCAGCAGATCATGGAGTAGCTAACAGATGAGAGGAGTGAGCTGTTTTGTGGGTTTTTTTTTTTTTTGTTGTTGTTGTTGTTGTTTTTTCCGGTACCAGGAATCGAACTCATGACCTTGCGCTTGCCAGGCAGGCGCTGTGCCGCTGAGCTAAATCCCCAGCCCAATGAGCTGTGGTGGTTAGACCCTTGGGGAACTGAACCAGATGTGACAAGTTTGCTCTTACTCTTTCTGAGGGCCACACTCTCTGTCGCAGCTAGAACTTGCCTATAAGGCAGCAAGCATGGCAGCCACTACCATGGAGCCCCGGAGAAAAGAGGAAGCTACTTTTCTCTAGCAACTACAATTTAGTCTCAAGGAAAACTCTGATTGGTCCTGATCAGTTCATGTGACCAAATATAGACCAATCACTGTTGCCGGGGAAATGGGATTCTCTGATTGGCCAAAATTACATCCTCATTCTAAGGGCTGAATTAGGTTGGGTTCCTTAGAAGTGGGTTCTAGGACCCAACTAAAAAACGTAACTACAGCTCAATCTCCTCATGAACATAGACACAAAAACCATCCATGAAACACTGGCAAATAGAATGCCACAACTCATCAAAAGGATCACACATAATGACCAAGTAGCTTTCATCCTAGGGATGCAAGGATGTTTCCACATACAAAAGTCAATAACTGTAACACACTACATAAACAGAAGCAAGGACAAAAGTCACATGACTATCAATACATGGAGAAAAAGCTTTTGACAAAATCCAACATACATTCATGATAAATGCCCTGAAGAAAATAGGTATAAAAGGATCTTACTTTAACATAATGAAAGCCATTTATGGCAAACCAGTGGTCAACATCATTAAATGAAAAGAAGCTGAAAGCTTTCCCTGTAAAATGAGGAATGAGACAAATATGTCCACTATCATCACTCTTGTTCAATACAGCACTCAAAATATTAACCAGAGAACCAGACGCCCAGTTCGATTGACATGGCCGCCTTCTGATTACCCCAAAGCACACTGACGCTAAAGCAGGTCCTGAGAGGACAACAAGTTCTCGTCCTCTATAGAAGGATTTTGCAGGCAATCCAGCAAGTTCCAAATGTGTCTGACTGCAAATACTTGAAGAACTGGGCAGGAGAAGAATTCAAAAGAAATAAAAGCACCACAGAAGAGGATACAATCCGGATCATGATTACTCAAAGTAATATCCAGCTAAAGGAGTTAGAAAAAGCACTTGCATTAGCAAAATCTCAGCTCTAACATTTTTCTGAAAGGATTTCCAAATGTTCATGTTCTGTTGAGTTTAGGTTTAATGGACAGCTCAAAACCAAGTCAAACTGTCGGTATGTATAGTACACAGACATTTCATAAGGTGGAGCATAGGATGTCACAGAGAGCAAAGAAAAGCACAATGAGACCACTCCTTTAGAAGTGAGAAATATACCTGAGTTCTGAAAATGTTTCTGGAATGTTCTGAAAATGTACTACCAGTTTTCATAAGAAGCAAAAACTATTAACAAGTGGCCAGTTGCATATGAAAAGATACTCAACACAAATCATCAGGAAAATGCATATCAGAACCATAAAGAGAGCTGGGCGTGGTGGTACATGCTTGTAATCCCAGCACTTGGGAGGCTGAGGCAGGAGGATTGCTGCAAGTTTGAGGCCAGCCTGAGCTACAAAGTGAGTTCAAGGCCAACCTGCACTGCATAGTGAGACCCTGTCAAGATAAAAACAATACAAACACAAAACCAAAAAAACCAGCACTTCATTTTCACTACAGTGGCTTCATCGTCACTACAAAAGGAAAATAAAGGTTGGTGAAGGTGTGATGAAGTTGCTCAGTAGCACACACCTGTAATCCCAGCACTCTGGGACCTTCTTGAAAATCCTTCTTAAGGGACACTGAAGTACCCTGTTCAGCTGTTCCACGATTTGATAGCCAAAGGACTAAAAAAATCCCATCGCTGGCACATCTGGATCTTTGCTGCAAAGAAAAGAAAAAGAACTTAGTGAACACATTGAAATACCAAATAGATCAGGGAAAACTGTAGGCAACTTCTGAGTGAAACTTCCATGATTACCTTAATTTCAATGTAGATAGCTGTATATATTGAAGGAATATCCTTGGTGTGTCAGGTTCTTCTCCAAGGACAGGAAAAACAAATAACTTTGAAGAATACATCAGAGACAAATACATCACAGCCAGAGTTGACTAAGGACACTTTTGAAAGCAATTAAATTTATAACATACAATTAATTTAAACAAAGATGTGGAAGTAAAGCTTATGGAAGATGCTGGGGTTATCAGTCCTGCAAACTTAAGTCCTCTTCATCAACAAAGCAGAGCTAAGAAGAGAATCCAAGAATGTGGCCAGATGTAGAATCTGAGAAGATGTAGATAAAAATTTGCCAAATGAAATATGTACCTAGTAAGAGCACTGTAAGCCAGAGGAGCGGTATTAACCAACGGTATAGATGTTAATGACCCGGATTGCCAGAGCTCCACTTCCCGTAGCCTCAGAATTCATAACATAAAATACTTCTGAATACCTGTCTGAGGGAGTAACCTACTAATGAAGAGTGCTTGTATGAGCCAGCTTTCAGGTTCCTAAAGAAGCATTAATATGTTGTAAAGCCATTTGACAGAAAGAGAAGATTTGTGAAGTTTCTGAAGAAAGAATACTTTGGAAATATAAAAAACAATTAGCCAGAGCAATCATGCAAGAGAAAGAAATTTCATATATATATACGAAATCAAATTATATATATATATATGTGTGTGTGTGAAATCAAATTATCATTATTGCAGATGATATGATCCTTTACACAGAAGACCCAGGTGATTCCATCAGAAGACTTCTGGAATTGATAACCAAATTCAGCAATGCAGCAGGATACAAATCAACACATAAAGATAAATAGTGCACAAGTACACCAATAATGATTTCACCAAGAAAGAAATTAGAAAAAAAAAGTACCATTTTCGATAGCATCAAGAAAAATGAAATACTTAAGAATGAGCCTAACCCAAGAAGTGAGACTTCTACAACAAGAACTGTTTTGAAAAAGGAGATCAAGGAGGATGTCAGAAAATGGAAAGATACCTCTGTTTCTGGATAGGCAATGTTGTCAAAATGGCCATACTTTCAAAACTGATATACAGATTTAGTGCAATCCCAATCAAAATACCAACAGCGTTTCTCCCGGAACTAGAACAAACCATCCTAAAATTCATACAGAACCAGAAGAGACCCAGAATAGCAAAAGCAGTCCTGGGTACCAAGAGCAAAGCAGGAGGGTTTCAATTTACATTCCAAGCCCAGGTAATAAAAACAGCATCATACCAAAACAAAAACAGATATGTGGGTCAGTGGAATAGAAAAGAAGGTGTAGACAACAGCCACACACACATTCAGCCACTTGATCTTTGACAAAAGGACAAAAAACATACTCTGCTGGAGAAAACAGAGCCTCTTTAGCAAATAGTATTGGGAAAACTGGCTACCCACATGCAGAAGATTGAATGAGTGCCATATTTCTCACCATGTAATAAACTAAAATCAAAATGGGTCAAAGATTTAATATTATAATAGAAACAATCTGCTGGAAGATAAAATAGGTAAAACTGTTGAAGTCACTGGCACAGGCATGGATTTTCTGAACAGAACTTCTATTGCACAAGAAATAACATCAAGAGTCAAAAAATGAGATTATGTCAAATTGAAAAGTTTCTGCACAGCAAAGAAACAACCAGCAGAGCTAAAAAACAACCTACAGAAGGAGAAAAACTTTTGCCAGCTACTCCTCAGACAGAGGATTATTATCTGGAATATATAAAGAACTCAAAAAAATTAGACCCCCCAATAAAAGATCTAATAGAAAAATAGGCAACTGAAATAAATACACACATCTCAGAAGAAGAAATACAGAGGGCCCATGAATACATGAAAAAAATGTTCAACATCACTAGTCAATAGAGAAATGCAAATTAAAACAACACTGGGATTCCATCTTACTCCCAAAAGAATGGCTATCTTCAAGAAATCAAATAATCGGGGCTGGGGATTTAGTTCAGTGGCAAAGCGCCTGCCTGGCAAGCGCAAGGTCATGAGTTCGGTTCCCGGTACCGGAGAAAAACCAAAAAACAAACAAACAAACAAAAGAAATCAAATAATAACAAATACTAGTGATGCTACAGAGGAAGAAGGAACCCTCATACATCATTGGTGAGAAGGTAACAATGTACAACAATTATGGAAATCAGTGTGGAGAATCCTCAAGAAAGTAAAAGCAGAATTCTGTTCAACCCAGCTAGTCTCCTTCTAGGTATCTTCCTGAAAGAGTTAACGACATCATATTACACTGATACGTGCACACCCATACCCGTGTTTATAGCAGCACAATTGATAATAGTTAAATCTTGGGAGCAGCCTATGTGCCTGTCAACAGATAAATGGATAAAGATAATGTGACACTGATACATAATAAAATACTATTCTGTTGAAAATGGATAACTTTGAGTCATTTGTATGGATGCACCTTGAGACCATAACGTTAAGTGAAATAAATCAGACACACAAGTGCACAGAGCTCAGAGCCATTCCTGTCCCTCCAGGGGGCGAGGGACTGGGGCAGTCATCCATCTGCCTCTGAGTCACTGGCCTGGGCTGCCCCTTGAGGCCGAGAGG